TTTGACACAGTTTGACATATAACCTCCATTTGAATGTATGTGGTGAAATAATCTAAGTCGTACGTCCATGTGCTTGATTCATACCATTTTTAAGCGATGACTGTCAGCTCTCGTGGTTTCTACTATAGAACGATTTATTTTCGAAATATCCGGCTTTAAACATGCACCACCTCTCAATTTTCACTAAACAAGATATTTGTAATAAGAAAATTAAAAAAGAAACATGTTTATTATTGAGAAAAGACCAGATTGAACCAGGTAGGTAATGAAAATTTATTTAGAATACGATACTTCAAGATATTTGTTCAAAACATGTATTGTGTTTTATGTTAAGCATATAATGTAGCAATAATATTAGGCAAAAATATTAAAATTTGAAAATTGAGAGGTGGATAAAATCTTTCCCTGACAGTTATGTCTTTCAGCTTGGTTTCAATGGGCCACCTGTATATAAAATATTTATCATTATAACTTCATTTGACATCAACCTACTTGATTTTTCTTAACAAATAATGACCATATAAGTACGAAGGCTTTCATGGCCGATGTTAATTAAACTAAACTAGAATTAGCACTAGCACTATCACTAGAACTAACACCAGACCAAGAACTAGAAACTTTTAGGTTAAATAGTGCGATAGTAGTTAAAAATGTTTAACGTTTCATTGTCATGTTGCAACCTTCTTCAAAAACAAGATCGAAGTCACTTCATTAATGGTTAACGTTTGTAAAATAATAGTTTAATTTTTTATTAGAAGTTAATACTGATTTTGCAACTTTTCTTGGTTCACTTTAGTTCTAGTTCTAGGGTTAGTTTAAATAATAACCCATCTGAATTATATCAAATGAGCCTATGTATTATTTTATTTTTTTGTAATTTTAGTAACAATTTTAGGAGAAAATCTCTCTTTAAATCAAGTTGTGAAATAGAAAAATGTTTTAAAATCTTTCGCATTAATTTAGAAACTCCTGTATATGTGCTTTCAATATCCAATTATAGAATGGATAATTACAAGCAAACTTGTTTACACACAATGTTTCAGTTACACTTTGATAAAAATTTAATCAAATTTAGCGTTATTTTCAAAGAAATAAAGAGTATAGAAATGATTCGTAATGATGATTAATGTTAACGTTTGTGGAATAATAGCTTAATTTTTCATTAGAAGTTAATACTGATTTTTCAACTTTTCTTGGTTCACTTTATTTCTAGTTCTAGGTCTAGTGTTAGTTTAAATAATAACCAATCTGAATTATATCTAATGAGCCTATGTATTATTATATTTTTTTGTTATCTTAGTAACAATTTTAGGAGAAAATCTCTCTTTAACTCTTACTCGTGCAGTGGTACAAAAAATAAACCACCTAAATTTTCACCCAACTGATGCAATGGTCTATAATGTAGACCACCAATTCAAAATTATTTTCCTACTTTCGCAGCCGCGGAAATTGAAAATGATTCAGATGACAAGAAACCTTTATCTGTACTTCAAGCAAGAATTAAAAAAAAATTAACTACAGTTATCAATAAAATAACCAGCTCAAATCCGATACCATATCCTCTGTTTCAACTATTTTTAGGTTTTTTAGGCAAACTTGAAGAACAAATGTGTACTAGAAAACATTACAGGAGAACGACGTGCGGGGAAATAAATTCCATTTTAGGAATCAATTTACTTATGGGGATCAATCAAGTTAAAAAGATTATTGGTCCAGTGCACCAGATCTATCATTAGCTCTCTATGCTATGCTTAATAGTGATTCGGAATATTTTGATCGTCTTTATAAAGTATGGCCGTTGTTACATCATTTAGAAAAAGCTTTTAAGTATTGTATTTTATCAAGTGAAGTATTAGCCTTGGACGAGTCGATGATCAAATTTAAAGGTAGAAGTGTGCTAAAACAGTATGTGCCTAAGAAACTTCTGCGATAAGTCGGGATGCTGTTTGAAATTCGATATTTATGTTGGAAAATCCCAGGATTAACGTATGGGGCAGATCCTAGGTTCTAGGGTTGTGTACAGGATGGTTCAAATTCGATGTCCGAATAGGTTAACTCGGAAACTATAAGAGTTAGAAAAAAAGTAGCTTACATGTCATGATCTCGTTTCTCGAGAAACTGCTAATGCCGAAAATCACAAAGCGCTATCGGTTTTTATTTTTCCCCTAGAGGCCAAAATTGCAAATATTGTAAAACCAGCAAGTGCATTTATCTTGGTTATTATTATAGGTGGAGTATTATAACTAAGACATTATATGGACACTTTTTTACAGAGAATTTGATGACATAATCAAAACAAAATTTTCGGTTTTAGATATCATGACTCATGACAATTTTCGTTTTTTAAATGGAAACAACCACTGATTATTCGCTTATTGGTTTGACAGGTCTATTTCTTATTGTTTTAGAATAAAGCTAAAAATAAACTTTTTTTTAGTGTAGTCAAAGAAATTAAATTTACAGTTTCCTGTAAATTACCTAGACTAGTGCGTCTGAAGACGCACGGCTAAACCCGAAACTTTCTAGTTCTAGTTTTAATTGTTATTCAGTGCTAAATTGTTGTTAATTCTTATTGAACTAAAACTAGACCAAGAACTAGATAGATTCGGGTTTAGCCGTTAGTCTCTTAAGATGGCTAAATTTGAATGTTGTAGCACCAAGGCAAAGCCACTGCGAACTTAGAGAATATATTTTTGTTTTTGTCAAGATTATTGTTTTTTGTAGAATTTATATACTCGTATGTCCAAAATAAACCAAAACATACATATATAGGATGTTATTTTATTTTTATGCAAATGGAGCGGTGGTGCAGAAAGTGGATCTCCAATTTTTTTAAAAACCGTATATGCTTTAATGATATATCATATGATTTCAACCTATACAGGGTAATTCAAATTCGACCCCCACCATTGGGATCTCAGAAACCATAAGAGATACAGAATTGGTTAAATGGGGGCAAAGTTGCGTATCTTAGATCATTTTTCAACAAAGTTTTTGGATCTAGCCGTTTTAGTTTTTAAAATATGGCCGAAAAACAAAAAAAATACCTTTCCCTTTATTTTTCGTTTTTTCATGAACCTGAAAAAACATTCTTAAGGCAACTTTTTATGAAAAATGTCATGACACAACTAGAAATTTTCTCCGACGTTTGGTTTTCGGGAAACTATCATCAGGTTTATTCTTTTTTTTTTTTTATAATTCAATATTTTTTTAAATGAAATACATATCATTGAAATCAGAATTAATTATCCTATTTTTTGGTGTGAAAATCAAATATGGCGTTCATAAGAAAAAATAAACCTGATGATAGTTTCACGAAAACGAAACGTCGGAGAAAATTTCTTGTTGTGTCATGACATTTTTCATAAAAAGTTGCCTTAAGAATTTTTTTTCAGATTCACGGAAAAACGAAAAATAAAGAAGTTATAGGCAAAAAACGAAAAAGTCATTTTTTAACCATTTCTATATCTCTTATAGTTTCTGAGATCCCAATGTCGAATTTTAGTTTACTTAAAGAATCTAAAAAAATCAAACTTTGATCCAGTTGAGCAAAATTTTATATTAAACACATGCTCCAGTAAGAGTTAAATTAAGTTGTGAAATAGAAAAATATTTTAAAATCTTTCGCATTAATTTAGAAACTCCTGTATATGTGCTTTCAATATCCAATTATAGAATGGATAATTACAAGCAAACTTGTTTACACACAAGTTTCAGTTACACTTTAATAAAAATTTAGCGTTATTTTCAGGGAAATAAAGAGTATAGAAATGATTCCTAATGGTGATTAATGGTTAACGTTTGTGGAATAATACCTTAATTTTTCATTAGAGGTTAATATTGATTTTTCAACTTTTCTTCGTGACAAAGAAAATGTTCGTAGAATAATTTTTGAAACTTATTTACTATTATTTGAAACGCATCAAAATTAAGACATGTTTACAAACATTATCATTCACCCCACAAAAATGAATTTTATTTTTATTTTACTTAATAATATTATTGTTTTTTTTTTGTAAATTTTTATGTCATTAGTGTACACATTGAAGGACAAAACCTTTGTCGAGATGCAACGTCGAGTTACTAAGGTCACTTACTATTCTAAGCAGTGATGCAATAACTGGTTTTCAAGCACGTACGTGCTTTTTTTTATTCTCGTTCGTTTTGACCCGTTTTTTTTGTTATTTTCACGGAAACGGAAATTCTTTCGCCGGGCGGACCAACGGCAATGCCAAGAATGCAGCTACCGTTATGGTTGCGTAGTACGTAGCCGACCGGGTGCAGATAATCGATCGATAATGTCGAGAATAGGATATTCCTAGGAAGTAGTGACACGTGTGTCAATTATGTTGCATAAAGCCAAGGTCGCGCGTATTTTCGCTTTTCGTTCGCGGACGCGCCGAATACGTGGTACGTGGCACAGGCAGGAATGGGCAGGAAGCGAACGAGCATCGGGAAACGGAAAACTGGAGCCGGAGGCGAAACTTGGAGAGAGTGCGACGAGAGAGAGGCGAGAGTGATTACAAAAGGGAGGAAACAAGGTCAAGGACGCGTGACATAATTACCTAAGGAGCAACGGCGAGGCGGCTTTGGTTGCGACGGTGGTGACGGCGAGAACGCAGAGGAAGAAGTCGTCGGGTTCGGCAACGAAGACAGCAAATTGTCGAATAGAAACGGGCCCGAATCGTTTATCATTCCGGTCGAGTTTGTAATAAATTCCGCGGCAAACCGTTGCCGTTTAATGCGTTTAAGGCACAGCAGCTGATCGCCGAAACATGTTCACCGACTGCGTAACACACCCACGAGCGGCGCGTCGAGCGCTGTGCTGCTGTTGTTGCGGCCGCTGCTGCTGCTGTAGCCGCTGCCGCCGTCGCCGCCGCCACAAACGTACCGTTTGACCTACTGACTCTATGCACGGTACGGGTACTAAACGGTACGTCACTGACGTTGCCGCCTCCGACACCGACACCGCTACCGCCACCGCCACGACGATCGTTTACCTGAGTTGTTGCTAAAGTGCGACCTCTTCGTGTCCCCGTTTTCATTGTCCCCGTCTAGGGGCCGCTTCCGGGAATCTGCGATCTCTGGGGACGGGCACGTATCCATTCCGGAGTCAGCGGCCATGTTTGTCCATTAGCGCGGCGCGTTAACACCACAACTACACAACGCCGCGGCGTTTGGCGCACACTTTTCAGTCCGCTACTTCCAATCGAATTTCAAAGCGATCCTGACGACCGTTTACGTTGCAACTTAGTGACTCCTCGTACGTTCCTTTTCAATACGTTCCTGATCCCGCTCCTGTTTCAATCCTGCGTATCGTTCTTCCGTTCTTGTAACGTAAGTCGATTCACCGCACCGCGCACATAATATCCCGAGGGACCGCGCGCTACTGCTGCCGCGGCAGGAACCTTACGCTGATTAGATACCGGAGGAGCGCAGCGTCCAAAACGGTGCTCCCCTCTACTTCTCTCTCACTTGCTCGCTAGCTCCGGCCCCGCGCTTTAACCAATATCTCCCACCTCTTCTCGCCTTCCACTTTTTCAAAAAATTTCCAATTTTTCCCTCTTCAAATCTTCCTGTTGCCAACGAACGTAGTGAATTTAGGTGCGCCAATCGTCATATTCACAAGATGCTGTGGTTATGAAATGGTCGTCGTTTTGTCGTAGAACGAAAATTTGTCATAAGGCCCCAATGAAAACGGATGTCAAAAAACGAGGATGACAACTGATTTTCGCGCGTCTCCGTGGCGACGGCGGCGCCTCTGGCGTTTTTCTGTCGGAACGTGTGGCGCGCTGCGTTATAGTAACCCAGTTTTCCCGCAAGGTCGCGCTCGGCGCATGCCTTTGCGTAACGACGTCGACCAAACCGCTTCGTTGGGTTTCCCCATATCGACGACGACGCCCTCCTTCTTTCCCCCCCACAACATCGTCTCCCACTACTGACACACTACCTATTACAAACATCGAAATAAGTTTTTGTGTTGAAATGTACCTTAACTCGCAAAAAATAATACTACTTAAATTTAGATTTACATCTATTACCAATTTGTTCAAGAAATAAAAATAATTAAAATATAATATATCACGTAAATGTTTACACTAAACGGTTTATTATCGAAAAATAATTACGTTTTCTATTGAATCAGGCATGAAATGTCATTAAATCTCCATTACCATATTACATTCATTGTCTTGTTTAATAATAATAAATTCCTGTATTATTCAAAAAAATCTAATAAAGTAAATTATACAGTATGTCCGTAAAGTATCGGACACAGCGTAATATAGGCGATAAAATAATTATATAGGTGTTCCGGTGACTCGGGGCATAAAATTAACCTCATATACTAGAGCAAAAATGATGACGATTCGTGAAAAAAAATTATTATAAAAGTCTTCAAATGGCCAAAATATGGGCCATCAAAGTTCAGAAATTTTAACACATTTTTCTAAATATTTTCAATACCACTTATGGTAGAGCGTTGAAATTTGGTAGAGGGTAAACAAATATCAAGCAAAATCATTGAATCAATTTTGACTTTGATCGGGCTGCGGCAACCATGCTATACAGGCTGTCCCTAAAATTTGTTTGCTCAGAAATTTTTTGTTCGCTCGTAACCCTATATTTATTTTTGTACTCTTTAATAGAAAATTTATTTTAGAAACTTTTATCACTCTTTGAAAATTTTGATAATATTGACGGTTTTCGAGTTATACGCGAAAATGTTAAGCTTTGATTTCAATCGTAACAAACAAAAAAAAAGAAACATATTCCGCAAGATCTGAGTTGGCGATGACAATTGAAAAACGAACTGAGCTAATAACCATTAATTGCATAAATTTCTAAGTGCAGATTTAGTTAAATCCAGTGTTAATTTATTTTACTTGAATAAAAGAATGTAATCTCCAAAACGATAAATTTAATTTTCACGGTAACAACAAACAAGAACATAACAAAAATTTTAACAAGAACAATAAAATTATAAACAAATAGTAATAAATAAAAAACAACAAAAAAATACTAAAGCAGATGTTCAAAAACACTGCCTGATATCGCCGTCTTAAATTAAAACGCACTCTACGGAGAACATTGATCTCAGTTCGAAGTTGATCAAATGAATCAACAATTTGCAACCTCAGTTGATCAACTGAAGTTATTTCAACGCAGTAAACTAGTGGTTTAACGCGTTCCCATAAATAAAAATCTACAGGTGTAAGATCCGGCGATCGGGGGGCCAACTTGTGGGTGCACCTACTCCTCGTCCAATTCACCGTCCCGGAAAACGTTCCCTCAGAAATTCTTGGACAGCCTGTGTGCTATGCGCAGGAGCACCATCATGCATATACCACATTGCTTGCCTTGTGTTTAAAGGAACGTCATCTAAAAAATCATCTAATTCTTCTAAATGTCGCCTGTATCTATGTCCATCCAGCCTTGATGGCAAGAAAACGGGTCCAATAATTACATCGCCCACAATGCCAGCCCAAACGTTATGAGAAAATCTCCATTGTGATTTCCAAGTTTTCTTAAATCTTGGATTTTCGTCCGCCCAACTATGTAAATTTCTTAAATTGAAGATTGCATCTTTAGAAAAAGTGGATTCATCTGTAAAAAGTACTTTTTCTAAAAACTGATCATCAATTTGGATTTTGTGCTGCATTATTTGGCAATATGCAGACTGCATATTGCATATTGCAGTCGCAGTGAGTAATCAGCCACTCGAACTTCCTGAACTTTGTAACAATGAAATGGATAAAGCTGTTGCTCGTGAAGAACACGCCAGACAGTTGTCTTTGAAGTTCAAAAATGCCTCGCCATATCTAAAGTACTAGCTGTAGTATTTTCTTCTACGTAGTCTAGAATATCTTCTTCTAGTTCGGGTGTTCGGGCTGATCTTACGTTACCGTTGTTAGCAAATTTCGGCTTACACGTCCGATTTTCCCTTAAACGGGTTTCAATCCTTAAAAATGTTTTTCGATTGGGCGCTCTGCGGTTCGAAAATTTCTCCTGATAACGGTTAGCTGCTGCTTGACATTGCCCTAATGTCAAAATCATGTCAGTTTGTTCACTAAATGTGTAACTCTCCATTTTGAACACTTAAAATTAATAATAACTAACAGAACTATCGTTTGTGTTTAAACGACATGAGCAAGTTGACAGCAAGTTGTTTTTTTTAATTGCCATGGCCAACCTTGACTTTTTCGAAGACTCTGTTTTTTAGTGTTACCATTGAAATCGAAGCTTAATATTTTCGCGTATAACTCGGAAACGGTCAATATTATCAAAATTTTCAAAGAGTGATAAAAGTTTCTAAAATAAATTTTCTATTAAAAAGTACAAAAATAAATGTAGGGTTACCAGTGAACAAAAAAGTTGTGAGCCAACAAATTTTAGGGACAGCCTGTATAGCATGGTTGTCGCCGCCCGATCAAAGTCAAAATATTTAGAAAAATGTGTTAAAATTTCTGAACTTTGATGGCCCATATTTTGGCCATTTGAAGACTTTTATAATAATTTTTTTTCACGAATCGTCATCATTTTTGCTCTAGTATATGAGGTTAATTTTATGCCCCGAGTCACCGGAACACCCTGTATACGGTTTATAGAAAAATCCCTGAAACGGGTCTAAAGATTTAAATTTGTTACAATTGCAGCTACAACGAGTCAGCTCCATTTTAACAAATTGTTCAGGCGGCACAAAAAACTTTTCCGTAACAATACCCTAAGTCTTTTGCAATTAGTTTTTTTTATTATCGTTTACCGATTATAATCGTTTTTAGCAAAATTAAAGTTTCAAAAATTTGTTTATTCATAATTGTGTGTTGGAGCTACCTCGTTGTTACTATCAATTTATAAAAAAAAAACTACTTTATTAGTATTTCGTAGATGTTGAAATATTTACAAAACCAATCATTTATTTAAACAGATCAGTAAAATGGTACATCATATTTCCTAATGTCATTACATTAATTTTAATTTTTGAAATTTTAATGACAGTGGTGTAGAATATGCAGCTACGGAAGGTTCTAAAGTGATGTGCCCATTAGTTCTCTATTTCCTCTATTTGGAAATCCTTAAGAATCAGCAAACTAGCAGATGAATATTTGAATTTACGTTTATTAATTCTAATAATTTTTGCTTTTTTTTTCTCTCTATTTTTACTGCGGAGCGATTGTATGCTACCCTTTATATTTATAACTTATTGTTAATTCATATTAGATCGCAGATATAGTGTATTTTTTTTTTGCTCTTGTTTGGTACTTATACAAGTGTCCCGTTAAGGGTACGGAGCGGCTGTATCTCGACAACGGTAAAGCCTAGAGGTTTGGGAAAAAAAACCTTATAGGCAAAGTGGCCAAGAGAAATAGCTGGAAATTATTTTGAAGATCGTAATTCGACCGCTAGGGGGCGTAACTGCCATTGAGAAGATACTCAGAAACCTAGAAGATGAGCTATAATTTTGACAACATCATCATAATAGCTTGGATAATACCGCATCGCTTTTGTTTTGCGATATTTCTCATATCTGTCATAATAAGGGAGGGGGAGGGGGTGGGTTTTCATATGTTTACATTTTAATATCTCCTGGACCATTCAACCGATTTGAATATTTTCGGTGTTGTTTGAAAGAGCATTTTATTTCATTATGATTTATTTTCAATGTATCGAATACGATGCAAAAATGTGCAATGCAATTACGACAAAGAAAGACATTTTTCTCTAGAAGCGTTTTTAAGATTGACTTAGCGATTACGAAAAACTGGCAATATGTAGCCCATTCAGTCATCTCTATGAATTCGTAAATCACATTGCGATCACAGTGCGCAATGCGATCCCACATAATCTGGGAACTTCGAAAACAATTGTCCACAAGATTCCTCAAAAGAATAATATCTCCACCACATTGTTGTCTGCAATATCTGCAATAGTAATAAAAACCCTATAGAACATGTTTGAGAATTGCATTGTTCTGTATTTCGAAGTTCGTTGTCAAAAACTTGATTTATTGTTATTATTCACCAACTTTTGTGGTTCCTCTTTCATAAAAGATTTAAGATGAAAATAGTCACGCCTCTGGATGTCAGATAATTTTAAACACATCTTCACTTATTGTAGTGCAGGCAGAGATAAATTTTCTTCAAAGTCAGAACTTCAAATTTACCATTAATCTCAATCTTAATCACAAGTCTAGAAAATACTGTGACGTTATTTGAGCAGGAAACCTTTGTATGTGCTCATAAATTTGCTTGCTTGTCAACTTATTTCCCACAATTTTCCCGCTCCTTGTAGATATTCTACTAACCTTTACTAACATTACTCTTCGTATTTATACTCGATATGGGGAACAAAAAGTATTGTTACTCATTCTCCATATCACGTGTTATTTTGTAGTTTGCTGCATCGAGTTTGGTCTACATCTCTTCAAACTCATTTCAACACTTAGATGGTTATCCTGCTTCTTTTTATTTGCCATTGCATTAAAACTAGTATGTGTGATGATGTAAGCCTACAACAGAATGTGTAAAAATGATAGGAATGTATTATTAGACTCCAAACAGTCCACATTTATGTATATATGATATATAGATATCATTTTTTTAAGTTTTTAACATAACCTTACTTTTTTGCTAAATGGCAATTGAATTTTTTTTTAAATTGATTGACATATCAAATATACCAACCATATCAAATTTAAATAAAATTAACAAAGGGATTATAAACTGATGATATTTTGAAACTATTGTGATATGTTTTAAAATTTAATTTGTAAATTTAATTATCTGGAAAAAAAATTGTGAGATGTTAATTAATTTTAATTCTTAAAAAAAACTTTTTAAGCGTTTCGTCGCCCCATCTAGCGACAACCACCCATACCAATTTTTTTTTGACATTTTATAATCGCCAGTTGCGTTTCTTCCTAAAACTGCCAAATTTTATAAAAAAGAAGTGTAATTGAACGAAAAGAAAACATCAAAATATGTGTTTAAATACGCGGCTGTTTATTTAAAGTGATTTTAGGTTCTCCAAGATTTTCCTGTCCACATTGATCGGCGAAGAAAATTGAAAACGTAACCTAACTTTTATCACCTCAAATTTAAATTTTTGGGTACATGGAAAGAGCGGAGTGATTTATTAAAACAAATACAAGCTAAGTTGATTGATTTTAATGGATAATTAACTTTCTTTCTTAATTTTTGTTATAATTAATGTTATTTTTTAGACAAAATTAATTGTACTTTAAATGGTTACTTCCTCCATCTAGCGGAAACTACCTATATTAAATTGTACTTTCACATTATATAATTATCAATGGTTTCTTAAAGTTAATCTTTACGAAGAAAACGTTTAATTGACATGAAAACTCGATTGTGAACACCCAAAGTATTTATTAAAATACTTATCTATTTAATTTATTTTAATCGCCCCATCTATTTTTCAGCATCCACATCAATAAGCAAAGTAGCTTTGAAATCGCCACTTTAAAGCAGTAGATGTCGCTACAGTGTTTTGTATAGTTTCATGGTCATGTACCGTTCCTATAAAACGGAAGAGCGCAATATAATAGGATTATATTAGAGTGTAGAATCGACTTGGTTCAGAAGTGTTCGCAATGGCGCTCCAAATAGCGCTATCATGTTTATGTTTAATTCTCTTTTCGAACGGAATAACAATGCAAAATGTCAACCAACCCAATCAGCCATCGTCTCAGGTGCCAAATTTGGGAGAATTCGAATCCGATTCGTCGATTGACGAACCCATCGTTTTTAAAACAAAGGTATTAAAAATATTACTAATTAAGAGAGTCTGATTCAAACAGTAATTAAATACATTTACCACGTTCTAAGTACAATGTGGATTACGTATTTATTTTTAACACATTAACAAAGAATTTGAAAAAAATGACATATTTTTAAATTCACATGTTTTGATAATATTGTTTATATTTTGATTTACAATGCGCCAAAAACATGTTTTATTTGAAATCGTACGGTTTAAGTCTTTCGATTTCTGCAATTTATTAGATAAAAAGGTCGTCTCCTTGACATTGTTGGTGTCATCATATAAATATCCATTTAACACATACAAACCTAATTTCTGAAAGTTTCTTTCGCTAACATTAATTGTACATTGTAAATTTTTATGTTAATGTTATGTATCGTGTGAATATAAACTTAAGAATACTAATTATCATTGTTTTGTGAGTTGGAAATAGTTTAGCAACATCTAAGGATTTGTGAATCATCTTCTTATTATAGATTTGGTTATACAGGTGTCCATGAAAAGTGTCTTTTTAGTGCAATTTCGTTTCCTTCTTTTTTTTGTATTATATGCATATGGTCTCAGATGCTGAAGTTGAAGGAAAATTGTTAATTCGTTGAATAATTCGCTTGATTGGTACGCACATCAATCAGACAGCCCAGTATTGCATTCCTATTCAACTCCCTATCTCTCATTGCCTATTGCATGCCTTCACACAAGGTAGTGTGCATTGCTATTTTTGCGTTGCCTTCAATTTCGCTCTTATTATTAACTTCCGCAAGCAGCAAGAAGATAAGGTATATTGGATCAAACTACAAAAAAGTCCCTGAAAAATGGAACATCTCAGGGTTCAGACAATATTCTAAAGGAACTGATTAAGTATGGCGGACAAAATTGTTCAAGATCTTAAAAAGTGGTAAAAAAAAACACCTGAAGAGCAGAATATTCATATATAAAATTCCAATCAAAGGAAATTCCAATCCGGAAGTGTTGATTTACCTTGTAGTTTTTGCTGTATTTTGTACATCTAATGGACATTTTATAAATATTGTTGTTCTATCAGTGCCATACAAGGTTCAAAGCGACACAGGTCACCTAACGCGATATCGCGCAATCTGAGACACAAGAGAGATAACATCACGAGTTCTGGAGTGTGCACAATTTTTATGAAAATTATTAAATTTTGACAATCAATTTGTTCTACGTTTAGATTAATAAGATTTTTCTTCTTCTACTTTAGGTGCTCTCTCTGTTCCGAAGGTTGGCAATCATTAAGGCAATTTTCGCTTTTGAGACCGCATAATATCTAAATAGCTGGTTATTATTGCTGCCATACCATTCCCTCAGGTTTTTTAACCAGTTTTGTCTTCTCCTCTCATGATGTGTTCCAAATATAACAGTTTTCTCTGCTTAATTGTCTCAATTACCTCCTTCTCCTTTCTTATCCGTCTCATCACTTCTACGTTGGTTATCTTCTCTGTCCATGAGATTCTTAGCATTCGTCGATATATCTCAAATCCTTCTAGTCTCTTTTCATCGATCCCTCTCAGAGTCCAGGCCTCCATCCCATAGTACAGCACCGACAAAACGTAATACCTCCACAATCATATCTTCAAGTTATGGTTTAAATCCCGGCAACATAAAAGCCTCTTTATTTCTACGAATGTACTCCTTGCCTGCTCGATTCTAATTCGTATTTCAAGACTTGTTGTTGTCTTTATTCACAGTTGTGCCCAGATAAGTCTAACTTTATAAAAGGCTTTGTGATATCGTGTGAATATAAAGTTAAGAATACTAATTATCATTGTTTTGTGAGTTAGAAATAGTTTAGCAACATCTAAGGATTTGTGAATCATCTTCTTATTATAGATTTGGTTATACAGGTGTCCATGAAAAGTGTTTTTTAGTGCAATTTCATTTCCTTCTTTTTTTGTATTATAGGCATATGGTCTCAGATGCTGAAGTTGAAGGAAAATTTAATTCGTTGAATAATTCGTTTGATTGGTACGCACATCAATCAGACAGCCCAGTATTGCATTCCTATTCAACAATTTCAATAAAGCATACATATAGGTCCTGGTTCATGTCTCGGCATCTTTGTGCCATAACATTAACAGTAAACAGTGCTTCCCTTGTTCCTAGGCCTTTACGGAATCCAAATTGTATGTTGCTGATGTTTATATCTAGTCTCCTGTATATTCTGTTATGGATAACTTTCGGTAAGACCTATGGTGCGATAATAAGAGCTGTATTTAGCACTCTTCTCTTTTTGGAAGTGCAATAAAAGTTGATCGCAACCACTCATTTGGTATCATTCCTGTTCTGTATACGGTGTTTATTAATTCTATCAGAATGTGAATCTGATCTTCCCCTATTAGTTTAAGACTTTCCGTTGGCAGTTGCTCCGGACCTGTCAGTACTTCGTCTTTTATTATGTCGAGACTCAACTCGCCTTCCACCTCTTCCAGGTTAATTTCTCGTCTTTCGTCTTCAAAGGACTGCACAATATAGTTCTTCCATATCCCTGCCTTCTGCTTTCTTTCTGTAACTATTTTCTCATTAAATTCGCTAGTGTTGACTCTGTGTTCATCGTAAAGTTGGTAAAAGGTATAAACGACTCGACGAAATAGTAGAAGATTGAAAACTCGAGTATACAGTACGAATCTGTCGTTTCGAATAAATTCATTATTTATAAAACAAAACAAACTAATTGAAATCTACTTTATAACTGATTATTATGTATTTATGCAAGACTAATGTATTAATATACTACATATGTAAATCAATGCTACTTGATGTTTTTATGTAAATTGTTAATGAATATTTAAATTAGTTTTTATACAAATTGTCAATAATGTTTTATCATGAATTTAGTGCTGTGTTGGCAGATTGCGAAGGTCGCCGAAGCACAGGAGGTTAGAATGTTATAGTGGTTTACACTTGAAAATTGTGCAGTCATTTTCAATTGGTGCAGCTACCTTTGTAATCAATACCTTGTTGTGTATGTTGCGATAAATTGTTTATTATTGTTACTATTATTCTCACCCTTAGCAGCTCGCTCGATCGGTCACTTCATCTTCTCAGCGTTTTCAAGGTCTTTTCTCATGCATGCTGGCGGATTAATTTTCTAAGAGTTTCATCCAAGCTTTGTTTCATCACCAAGTATACAAATTCCACAACCGGCTCGATGTTATCGGTTTCTGCAATGTGTCTAGGTCGGTTTCCTCTTGTCAGTGTTAATATATTTGTTTGAGCTACTGAGGCAGTGTGTAATAAGTAAGTTTCTTATTAAAATATTATTAGAAGCCCAGGCAGCTAATCTGCACGAGCTTAATTAGGATATACATTTCTCTTCATCAACCTGTGATCATCCACTTCTGAACATAGGTCTCTCTCATCATGCCACTTCCGTAATTTCGTTCACCCAACTTTTTGTGGATGTCTTACACTTCTTTTAGTTTATCTAGGCTTCCACACTGTTACTCTATATGCCCACCTGCCACTAGCCAGTCTGGCCACATTCCCAGCCCATTGCCATTTCATCTTAGCCACTTCTAGAGTTATATCAGTAACCTTTGTTTGTCTCCTGATGTTTTCGTTTCTTATTTTATCGCTTAGTGAGACGCCAAGCATGCATTGCTCCATAGCTCTTTGAGTTGTTAAGAGTTTCTTTGCACATGCTTTGTTAGACAGATTGTTTCCAGTCCGTATGTTTGTACAGGCAGGATACACGTGTCATAATATCGTATCGTTTCTTAGAATGTGTCGCAGTTTGCCAAAAGCTGTCCACGCCAGTCTTATACGCCTTGTTATTTCTACGTGCTGGTTTTCTTTACTTCTAATAGTGTGGCCTAAGTGTGTGTATTCGTTTACACGTTCTATGTTATTATTTTGTATATATATGTTGGCATCTTGGGAACTCAGTATTTTTATTTTGTTGTAGTTCATGTTGTAGGTGTAATTTCTAACATAACCTAACTTTTCTGTTAAATTATGTAAAAAAAGGATATTATGTTAATGAATTTCAACTCACCTAGATTTGTAGAATCATTAGTAAAAACTAATTCAAGATTTACTAATTGTCTACCTCTTAATAGCACTTTGTGGTGGCACTATTTCACTAATAGAACAACAGGATAAAGATACGATGGTTTACTACTTTAGGTTAGCTGAATATTTAACTGCGCGTAACTGTTCTTTCGAGATACGACTTTTTACCTCTACGACAATTTCCAATGCAATATAGTATCTTACATACCGGTGTCCCGAAAGTCAACGTCAAGCGGGCACCGGGTGAGAGGCCAACCCATACCTGTTCTGGTAAAAATAAGAAAAAAATTCTATGTCTCTTACAATTAGTTAAGTGATAATAGACATATTTTTGAAAATGTTAAAAATCGTTCCCGTACATCATATCTTTAGGTACTACGGTCAGAAATGTTCACAATTTAATAGTGATTTTTTTAATAATGTATTCCTCATGAACCATGCTATTATAGCAGTCACAAATCGAACAACAAAAGTCGTTAGTTTTGCAAGAAAAAGTATTAGTGTGATTGAGTTAAGGTTGAAATAATTTATGTCTATTAAGTTTGACACGCGATTTCTAAACAAAGGACTAGTACAACATCCTTGGCAAATTATTTTAAAAGATGGCCTGTTTAGTCAAGATTCCAAAATGATATAACACTTGCCATTTTTCTTTTCCTAAAAAATATTATTATATACTTTCGTATGTTATTTGTATTTCCTCCAAAATGATTTAACAACTTTGTTAGAAGATGTGCCTCTCAATATCTACAGAGAAGTGTGGTTTCAACAAAATGGTTGCCCACCTCATTATGCTTGTCCTGTACGGGATTGCAAACAGAATACCCAGAAAGATGAATTGGGAGTCGTGGTTCGATTAAGTGGCCTACTCATTCTCTGGGTCTAAATCCCCTTGATTTTCTTATTAGGATTGCATAAAAGAAACAGTGTATTAAAAACCGATTGAAAATCTTGCCGAACTGCGTCACAATATTTATAGAGCAGCAGAAGAAATAAATGCAGAGATTTGCACAACTAGTAAAAAGATCTTTTCGTGACGATGCAGAGCTTGTATTAGTGCCAACGGCAAATAATTTGAGCATTTGCCTTAGTTTTAAGAAAATAATGCTATAAAATTAATAATAAATAAATTTGTTTGTTTAATTTTGTCTTTAGGTTAACCTTATTTGAAAGAGTCTTTTTGTAAGACATAAGGGCAACCATCTTATTGAAACCACATTTTGTAGTTCGTAGATATTGACTGGCACATCTTCTAACAAAGTTAATAGGAAATAAAAAGTAAATACAAATAACATACAAAAGTATAAATTTTTTAAATAACGTGTTTTTTTGCAGAAAAAAAGGCTATAATATTTTTTATGACAAGAAAAATGGCAAGTGTTGTACCATTTTGGAAACTGCACTAAACAGGCCATCTTTTAAAATTACTTGCCAAGGGTGTTGTACTACTCCTTTTTTTAGAAATCGTGTGTCAAACTTGATAGACATAAATTATTTCAACCTTAACTCAATCAAATTAATATATTTTTTTGCAAAACTAACGATTTTTGTTGTTTGATTTGTGACTTCTACAGTAGCATGGTTCACAAGAAATACATTATTAAAAAAAAATCACTATTAAATTACGAACATTTCTGACCGTAATACCTAAAGATATGATGTCCAGGACCGATTTTTAACATTTTCAAAAATATGTCTATTACCTTATTTTTTTCTCATTTTTACCAGAACAGGTATGGGTTGGCCTCTCACCCGGCGCCCGCTTGACGTTGAGTTTCGGGACATCCTTTATAGTTTACGCTTCAGATACGTTGAAAAAAGTATTAACTCGATATTGACAAAAATTGGAGTTACGATTCTTGACTCCTAAGGTACAGATATGTGTAGTAAGTTGATTTACATGAAGAGTGCTTTGCGAAGTATCACAGTAAATGATTATACTATTCATGCCATTGGTGCGTTTTTGCACCAATTTTAGTGTAATAAAATAATTTTTATAATAATTTTTGATGTTAAACTTCATACTAAAGTTGGTATTTGTTAGTATTATGTTGTATTACTATTATTATTTATGGCTAATTTGTTACTTAGTTAATAAATGATAATCAAAATATTTTTGTGTTGTTGTGGTGCATGGTGCATTTTTGCACCATCTCATATCCCATAAAACATTTTTTTTTTCAAATGCCTGTATACATTTTTATACTCTTCATTCCATCTTATCTCAAGGAAACTTATACAAAATCGATTTTTTTGGCTTAAGAATGGCTTAAGAAAGTTACAATGCTTACAAACATCGATTTTTATTGATTAAATTTAGCACTCGAGTAAATACAAATGTGTGATATACATAAAATAACCTTTGATACATAAAAAACTATTTATTTTAATATCTTGTTTATTGTCCCAATTGAAATCGTTATTATTACAAACATTATCTCCGTAAATGTATTGGTAACATTTATGAGATCAAAGTGTAAAAATATCATATAATCGAGAGACTGGGTAATATTTTTTAAACCCCGAGATCATGATTTATGACCTCCTGCACTTAAGTAGGCGTTCTTTACTATTACACGGAAGAATGCATCAATCCGATGTTTTTTTTATCGCTTAACATTACTTGAAATTGTTGTTGTTACACAAGAATGGTTTTTTTAAATCTACGCGGAATGATGCAATTTTATTTGGAATGCAAAATGAGATGAAGAAAAAATATATAGACAATTCCAGTTTATTACACAATTAATGTTTTGTTTAAATGCTAATCGAAAAGATATAAAATTTTTTTTTATTTCTAGGAAGAATGCGCTGGATGTCCAACAAAAATAAACACAAACGCCGAGGGGGTAGATCCATTGTTAGAAATGGCCATGAAAGATATCGAATCAGTACGGGATAGAAGACAACTCCTCTTGGAATTAATCGACCTTGAACGCCAAGTAAGATTTTTTTAAAACTTAATTTTCAATTAACATCAAATTATACTACCACTAATTACAAAATAATAAAAATATCATTATTTTGTAGGTTGTTAATGGAATTAAATTTGGCGCTACAATCAAAGTTGGTTCATCGAAATGTTTAAGAAACGCCGACATCATTTTATCCAGTTGCGAATTGGACGAATCTATTGATTCGGAATATTGCAGAATCGAATTTTTGCAAAAACCTTGGATATCCAACGACAAATTTATAATACGAAATAATTGCACCTCTAAAACATACTCATTCCCGGAAGAAGCGATCATTAAAACAACGACCACTCAAAAACCAAAAGAATTAACACCCGAAGACATTCGCAACATCGAAATGCAAATAATTTCCGATGATCTTTTCAACTACATGTTTGAAAACGAAGATTTCGAAAATCGTTTAGACACCCCGGTTTATTCAGATGCGCCACTACAAATTTTAGACTTAGGAAGTATGGATGACGAAGACAATAGATTTTACGATGTTCGCCGTAAAAGGGGTTTACATACTTCTGAAGAATCAAACAGTAACGAAACATCGAGTGAGGAACATCATAAAAGAACCGTTCGCGAATTAAACACATCTGAAGATTCTAAAAGTAATGATACTTCTGTTAGTAGTCATGAACATCAAAGAGTTCGCCGAAGCGACAGTAGTAGTAGCAGTAGTAGTTCTGATGATGATAATAACGGTAATAATGGAAATGGCGAAGATAACAACGTTCGGCAAAGTTACGTAAAAGGTAAAGAGTCCCATAACGATAAAAATGGAAATGGCGATGATAACAACGATACAAGCTCTAGTTCAAGTAGCGATGACGATAATAACGATAACAATGGAAAAAAGAATAAAATAAAGAGGGGCACCCCTTTAGAAGCGTTAGATGAAAAAATTTTATTAAGAAACTTAGCTAACTTTGTAACATCTTCGCTTGATGACACCGACGACGATGATTTTAAACAAATTCCAGCTTCAATAGTGAAACTACAACGTTCCGATATAGAAGGATTAGTTTATCATTTAAAATTAAAAATAGTAGACTCAATTTGTCCGGAAACTAAAACCACAACAACCGATAATTTCCTCGTTAATCACTCCCACAATGAAGAATGCCATTCAGATCTTATTCCAAACACAACGAAAGTTTGCAAAGTTAAAGTTTATGTTCCAAACACATTTGTAAATCCGAAAATTCTTAGTTCGCGATGTCATTATGTCGAGCAAGGCGGTAAAAGATATAAAAGAGCCGGTATACCTGGAGGAGTTTCTCCAACATCAGTAGACAATCCAGAAATAATTTCTTTAGCCGAATCAACTTTAAAATTACTTGATGGCGAATCGGGACATTCCAACAAATATAAAGTCGTTAAAATCCATTCAGCTACTACTCAAGTTGTTGCAGGCAGCTTAACGAAAATCTCTGCGGATATTGCTATTTCCGATTGTTTAAAAAGTGATAGTAAAGATGCGAAATTATGTGGAATCCAATCGGGATCAACTCCAAAAACATGTAAAATTGAAGTTTGGGATCGCCCTTGGTTACCAGACGGAAAACAAACGACCGTTACTTGCGATGCAAAAGTATCAAAATTTAGAAGTAAACGTGATTTGCACGCCTCCCCTCACGGAACAATGTACGTATTGGAAACAATCCCTCTTTTAGATAGTAGAACACATTTTCATAACCGTTTGAAACCTATGAACATTTATCAAACATTTAAACAAGGCCCGAATGATGATGTGTATACAGTTAAGGCGGAAATTGGGGTATCTCAGTGTCCAAAAGGAACGACTTCTGATATTCTTCAATGTCCAGTAGATCCCCATTATCATACTTTTTCTTGTACGATTATTATTGCGAAACATAGTCCAGGTGGTTTTCACGCTGGTGATCGCCGAACTGTTAGATGTACTAACGGGCTAAAAATATCGTTTTAATAAGGGATGTTTTATGTTTGTTGATACTTATAATCAATATATTTATATTTAAATAATCTCCATCAAAATAAATTGAACTGTATGTTACTATTTATAATAATAACCATTATTTTTTATTAGTAATTATAAGAAATAGAGTGTTCGTGGAAGTAGAAATAGTGAAGAAAATGAGATGAGAAAATCTGGTTAATATACAATAATAATTATTATTGTAGAAACTTATTAGATTTAATGTGTTTCTAATTTATAACTATACCCCGTTCAGTGAATACATGCAGTAATTTGAAACTATACAGAGTGATTCTCAACCTATACGCATAAACTTGGGGATTTATTCCTCATGACAAATAAGGAGTAATAGGTGAAGAAAATTGTAGCAAAAGTTTTTTTAGTTTCCTAGATATCCATGAAATTTATTTTCAAATCAAGAATACATATTCTATGTTGTTTCTAATATTTTCTATACACAATTGGGCTCATTGAATCCACGATGTCCCAGTAGCGCGGCCTAAACCAAAGTGTTAGCGGATTGTCTCCTCAGCAGTTTGTATCTGATTTCGTAATCCTTGCTCAGTATTGATTTCCTCAGCTGCAATGTTAAATGCCTGTATTAACCACTGTATGACATCCTCAGTATGAACCAAGAGGGCGGCATCATCTGCTTAGCACACAATCTTAATTTTGTAAGCGTTCATTGTTTACCTTGTAAAGTTTGCCCTGTTCTAATTCTTTTATCCTTACTTTGTCGAACGTTTTGGTTAGATCAACGAAACAGAGGAAGGCTGCCTGACCTTTTTTCGCCGGAGTTTTATCTGATTCTTTTCGATGTTCTCAATATTGCGTGATCTGTACATGTCATTCTTCATCTCGTTAGTAAATTTCACCATGCATTATTTGTGTAGTCACCTCTTACATTCAGAAGGGCGTGAGTAAACGACACACTCAAAATGTATGTAAACATTTTTTTGCAAAAGATGAAATAAGTATGGTGGTATCAGTTTTAAACAGATGAGATAGTTTGGTATTGCTGTGTAGAATGATTTCTGGAAGCAAAGACTACTTTGTACACTTTGGAGATGATATTATAGCGCGGCCTAAACCAGGGTGTTGGCGGATTATCTCGGCAGCAGTTTGTATCTCATTTCGCAATTCTTACTCAGTATTAACTTCGGTAACGTACACTATGTGTTTTAAGTGACCCCAAAAATAAATATCAAGAGGATTGAGGTCGGGCGATTGAGATGGGCCAGGCCAATGGACTACCTCCACCTCCATCTTCCGGGAAGGAAGCTAAAATCTTTTACTACAACTTTTTTCACCTATTACCCATTATTTGTCTCGAGGAACAAATCCCCAAGGTTATGCGCATAGGTTGAGAATCACCCTGTATATGTAGATTATTATTAGAAAACTTCTGTTCCAATTTTGCGCATATTTCGTCGTTAATATCATAAACTGACATATCTCAACAAAATCTAAAAATTTTTTTAGATAAGACTGTAGGTACACTTCTGTAGGCATAGATTTTCTTCTCACAAAGTGGCGTACGTAAATTCGTAGTGGGTTTGGAAATACAGAAAAGCTTAGGCGCGACGTATCGGCAGTTCTTGAACTCAGCTATTTTACAAACTGGCGTAACTCAACATACGTCAGCTTGTGATAATATTTTCAAAAAAGAATTCCTTAGGGCTTATTGTCGTATCTAAACTATGCAAGTTCAGCCAAGTCATTTCATGCACATGCGCATGAACGTGGAGTCTGGCAGTGTCAGTGTTGCCACCTCGAGGGAGTTATCCCTTTTTAGGGAATTTTTACCACCTGAAGGGAAAAAGGAAATCTTTACGTAAAAAAGGGAATTTTTTTCTATTGGTCACAGACATTTCGCACCTATAAAATATAAGAATACATAAAATATACCTTTAGAATACACAACATTTCACTTAAAAAATTTTTTTTTTTTGAGGTAAATTTTTTCATAGTTGCTAACAACAAAATGTCGGTGCAATAGCCTCTTGAAGGGAATTTTGGTGGCTAAAAGGGAATTTTCAATAGACAGAAAGGAAATATTGCTGCTGCAAAGGTGGCAACACGGCAGTGTGTACTTATTCTCGGTGGTTTGAGTTTATTCAAAATGGATGTCTTAGTTTTGTGGAAAAATGTTGTTGCATCGAAAGAATTGATGTTTCGTGGTTACTTTAAGGGGTAATATTAGACGCCTGTTTTCAAAGGTTATCTTTGAGATTTTTTTTTCAACTGGGAATATTAAGGTAAAAAGACAGATAACGTATGCTTATTGTATACATCTTAAAAGCTATATTCATGAATTTCGTGAAATGTTTTTTTTAATAGTCGTCGTACAACAGATTAAATCCAGGTTTGTTTTATTCGTGGCGCTCTTCTGCGCGACATATAGAAGACGCAAATCATAACCTAGAATAAAAAACGGAAGTTCTTTTCAAAGTTGAGCTCAAAATCTAAAAAAAAGCGTAGCGGTTTGTCAAAAAATTTATTTTTGTAAAAATGGCATACCTTTAAACATCAAGAAGTGCTTTTCTCGTAAAAATTTCGCCGGAAATTGGTTATAAAAGCTGAAATAATCAATATTGCGAAAAATCGCTACGCTTTTCCTTAAATAATCTATTTCTAAAGGTGCAGTTCAAATCTGAAGTTGTCAAAAATTGTAAAAGTTATTTGTGGCGCTAGATTGAAAAATGTAGTTTCGAGAAAAAACGCTTTAAAGTTTTAGAACGCGAGAGTTCGCATATAAATTTAAAAAAATTACTTTGTATGGGATCTTATCATTAATCAGCTATTTCAGCACCATAAAGTTGACCCTCAATGCTGCTATTTTCCTCTGCTCGCAGTTTTCTGGCTGTTGTTAAGGATTGTCGCGCCTTTCTTGCTTTATAGGTGAACGAGTGCTCGGAATATTTAATTCGCTTCGCATCGGCTTCGAGGCAGAAATTGTAACAGTTATAGCCAATTATTGTTATTTCCATAAGCTCCATTATTTTTAAAACTGCACTCAGTCCATCGTTATAAATACTAACAGCAATATCTGTACTTAAATCCAATATTTTTTACTAATGAATTAAAGCTTTCATTGCTATTTTGAGTGTATCCTCCTATGCAACGCTCAAGCAAATCCTCTACTTAAATCTTCATAGATAGGTTGAATCGCTTCAAAAACTTCCGGTTTCGTTGGTGGTGGGTGTTTATAATTATTTCCTTCAGCAAAAGCTACTTGAAACGCACACCACGAATCTTCTTCTGACGGGCATTTGTCATGTTGAGGCTTCTCGTCTGTTGACAATTTATGAAACAGAGTTGCCCAAATATCATTCTTCATATCTTCTATTGAATGAGGAACACCGAATTGCCAAACCATAATATTTACTCAAATCGTCAATAAGTTTAGTTTTAATAGTTAATTTACTCTTTCCACCATGGCTTTTTTTAAATTTTTTAACGTTACGCAATCGAGTTCCCATGCGTTTTGTTACGTGATCGATACATTCTTTTTTCTGCACAACAGTATTTTCATAAGGTTGAGCATCTATAATTCCTTTAAAAGTTCTACTGTCGCCATCGCCGATGTAACAAATTTATTTAACATTATACAGACTAAGGGAACGTTTAAACATCTCAATTACTGAGTCTATTTCAATTTTTCTTGCAGAACCTTCATGGTTTGCCTGTCAAACTGTCTTATGCGTTTTAAGTCATTCCGCATACTCTTCGCTATTTTTTTTCTTTTCCCAAGTTTAACAACTTTTGCAGTACTTAGATTTGACGATGATGTCGACAACTTTTCCGGTATGACAGCCAACTAAAGAAGCTAAGCCGAAAAGCGATGCGAATCCTCGTTTTCTCCAAGACCCATCGCCAGAGACAGTCAGTTGATTACCATCTCGTCCTTCTGCAGAAGTCATTTTTTTCTCTTCTTTCACTGTTCCTTCCATACTAATTTGACACACCGATCGAGCGGCGACCGAAATTGTAGCAGCTGCATAAATGGTTTAAAATATCGGTCGAGGCAGATGCATGAAGGCACAGAACTTGATCAATCCATTCATACCGATTCCCAATAAACGCATTGCTAATACTATTCGTCTATTCAGTTCATACGCATTTCTAATAAATGGACTGTTCGGAACACTACTAATATTGTCACACTTTTCGCATGTAACATTTATTTTAAAGCTCAAGCCGTGCATTGAGGTATGACTAAAAGTCACTCTAGAATGGCACTTATGGCATACTACAACGCTAGAGATAGCATTGAACACGGCAACAAAATGAACGAAGCAGTAACCAAATGATGGATGAACATTAAATTTAATTTCTTTGATGACACTAAAAAAAAGTTTATTCTTAGCTTTATTCTAAAACAATAAGAAATAGACCTATCTAACCCCATATTTTTGTAATCAGAAAAAAATAACGAATTTAATAAGCGAATAATCAGTACGTTATCAGATTCTCTGTAAGAAAGTGTCCATATAATGTCTTAGTTGTAACACTCCACCTATAATAATAACCAAGATAATTGCACTTGCTGGTTTTACGATATTTTCAATTTTGGCCTCTAGGGGGAAAAACAAAAGACGATAGCGCTTTGAGGTTTTTGGCATTAGCAGTTTCTCGAAAAACGAGGTCATGACATGTAAGCTACTTTTTTTCTAACTCTTATAGTTTCCGAGATAGCCTCGGACATCAAATTTGAACCACACTGTATACGCTGGACAGACGACCTCAAAAGAATGACCAACAATTGGTTTCAGACAGCACTGTCTGAAACCAATTGTATACTGTTGGAATTGGTTATGATACGGAGGGCTGTTCTGTGTTGGACCAAATTGATGTCTGGTATGTTAATGTAAGTGTGATTATTCTGGTATAAATGAGCCGTCTCTTTAGAAAACGTTGTAGATTGTTTTAATTGTTCGTTATGTGTTTGAAGAAGATGAGTTTTTATGCAGGATGACCTTTAGCTATTTGTTTTAGGTTTTAGGGATATTGATGTATTAAAGATTTGATAACAGCATTGAAGGAGGCGGGGGTAACTATTTTTGTTTTGGGGGATTTTGGGTATATCACTGAAGTAGATATATTCAAACCTCTCCCCCCATTTCTTCAAATGGGGTCTTTGTGGGACTCCTAATTCCAACGATCTGGTAACGTTCTTCGCTTCGCTTCTCTCTAGATAGGTGTTTTGATTTACTTTTGTTTATAATAGTTAACACGCCAGAGTTTACAAATATTGGACGATCGAGGACGGAGGGGGTCGACAATTATTGTGAGACAAACAAACGTGTATAAAAGCATAGTAATGGCCCATCCAGAGAGAAGCGAAGCGATCGACGTTGCTAAATTGTTGCCTGATTAAATAGTTGTTGCATTTTTCTGGTTGGGGTATTTGTGGACTAGTTTTGTTAAATAGTGGTAGTATTTTTTGTATGTCATTTTGTGTATTAAACCGTTAATCCACGGTGTCGAAGACTTTTTCTAAATCTAGGGATATTAGAGCTGTGTGATGTATTTGTTTTATTCATTGTGTCTGTGACTATCCTGACAGTTTGGTGGGTTGTTGAATGGTGGCGGCTCAATCTGAATTGATGGTTGGGCTTGCATTGCGAAAGCAGGTATTAGGATAATGGTGGCTTGGTAGAAGTCTTGAAATTTTAGGATGTGCCTTTTGATCCAGCACAGTTGAACGATACAAGTCCAATGACTTGCCATTAGGCTATCACGCCCCCATAGTTTGTACCACAACGATAATAATATTAACCAAGACATATTGTAATCTCTTGGCTTTGGCTTGATCATGCAAAAACATACATTCTTTGGTCAAAATTAAGCCGAGGACGCTTCTGGCCGAGTTGCTACAATACCTCTTGGTCATGATAATATTTAATATCTTTTCCATTTGAAATTTTGGTAGTAGGGGTCAATGATCCGAAACGTTCGATCTAAAATACAATCAAGATGGCCGCCACTACCGATCTAACTTAACTTGCCTTCTTAATTACATTTCTTCTAGTTGCCGATTTTAATATTTGAAGGTTTGTGTTCAATGCGCGCATAACATATCAGTTTCATCAGCATTGCAAATCTGAAATTGTAATTTCATGATTTATTGTATTAATATTTACGGAAAAGATTTAATTTCTCTTGATCCATTTAAAGCTTCGTATTTTCTCAACATGTCTTCTCTAACATCTACAAACTTTATTATAATATTAGTACATACAAATTTATATATTACTACATTTTTCTTGTCTGTATGTTTCAGTAATCTATTTAGATCTTCGATTTAGTTTTGGTTTTCATTTTGTAGCAGTTCTTTTAATAATGAAATCAATACTGTTCTATTAATAAAAAGAAATCCACAAGTTTCCAATTAGTAATATTTCCGGTTCATTTTAAACGAATTACAAATTAATTATGAAAACAATCGTTCGAGATACGTATGATTTAACACAATAAGAAACATATAGTTTCCTTTTTCCTCCAAAATATTTAATAAATTCTTAATAAAATGATTTGGTTTTGATACTTAACATTTCTTAACAATCTTTATTTTTGTAATTCCAGGAGAAGAAAACGACAAATTGTTGGAGCTCCCATTGAGGCATCAGCGGACGATCCGGAAATAATAAAAATGACTCAAACGGCAGTAAAACAATTCGACACAGTTTCCTCAGATTCCACAAAATATAAAATAGTAAAAATTCATACCGTAACCAAACAAGTTGTAGCCGGAGTTCTATACAAAATAAAAGCTGAAATTGTGCTAACTGATTGTCCAAAAACAGACCCAACCGACGCAAACATTTGCGGGACGGCTAAAGAGGCAAATTCACGATTGTGCGAAATCGAAATTTGGTCCCGTCCTTGGATTCAACCCGGTGGAACCGAAACGACTGTAAAATGTGGGGATCAACAAACAAAAGTAAGATCAAAAAGATCTCTTCGTTACAACCAAGATCGTCTCGATAATATCGCTTTTAACGAGTTTTTGAACAAATATGATATCAGTTATGACAGCGAAATTGAACGATCACGGCGGTTTAAAATTTTTCAAACAAATTTAAAAGTGATTGAATTGCAAAATCTCTCGGAAAGGGGATCCGCCGTTTATGGAATAACCCGTTTCGCCGATCTAACACCGAAAGAGTTTAAAAGAAACTATTTGGGATTGAAAATTAATAATAGAGTTGAAAACGAAATACCATTCGCGCAAGCGGAGATTCCCGATATCGATCTTCCTACCGAGTTTAGTTGGAAAGATAAAAATGCGGTAACCCCAGTCAAAGATCAAGGTTCTTGCGGTAGTTGTTGGGCCTTTAGTACAACTGGAAATGTTGAAGGACAATACGCGATTAAATACGGAAATTTACTTGAATTCTCTGAACAAGAATTAGTCGATTGTGACTCTTACGATGAAGGATGTGGAGGTGGACTTATGGATAATGCTTACAGGTTTGAAAATTTTTTTTTCATTAGCGTTATTAAGAATCCCGCTAGACATAAATCATGTATAATCGTATATAAAATATACAACAATCTAATGCTTAATAACAACTAAAACTAGAAATAACACTAGACCTAGAATTAGAAACATTTGGGTTTAGCTGTCTTAACCCATCTTTGCCCAGACGATGATTTTATGCACCAGCAACTTTTCATTTTATTGTAGTCAAACGAAAAATGTTATAGATAAATAGTGACTGGTAGATATGTTTTTATAAAATCGTAGTAATGTTATAATTTAACCAGGAACCGTTTTTCATAGAGTGTTCATTCATATTCTAATTCATCTGGTGATTCTGGTTACCAATGAACCGATATATCAATTCTTTTTAGTATTTTATTTACTCTAGCAAAACACGTGTTTTCGACATGACGTTTATTTCGTCATTCTTTCTTTCTGTGCTGCCTAGTAAAGACGCTTTTTCGCTGTTTGTGTTTGAAAGTGGGTGAAGTGGTTATATTTTTTTATAATATGTAAAATGAAACGTCAAAATGATTTGAAAATAGATGTAATCATGCATTTGTTGCACGAACCACCCTCGCTCGAAGATAACTACAGTGATGATAATGCTTTAATTACAGCGAAGGATGTTAAAAACGCTAAAACCATAAATGTTATTTATGTACCATCACAAGTAAACGCTGAAAGTGATCTAAAAAATATAAACGACGATAATATTAATTTTGAGCAAAGTTTAGATACCGATCTAGCTAGTACTGTTGAAGTTGAAATCGCTGGTGAGGAAGTTGTTGAAACATTAGAATCTATTGATGCAACTACTGAAATTTTAACTGATCAAGGTCCATCAGTCATCAGTTTTTAAGTCATTGAATGAATGTGGGTCACCAAAATGGAGAAAACGAGAAATTAAAGATTCTAAATACCCAGTAGATACAGAGTAGGGAGGAACGACTGGTATGATGGCGAGTGTAGGAAGGCGAAGAGGGAGGCGAGAAGGAGGTTGAGGCAGTGGAGACAGGGGAAGATAGGGGTGGATAGATATAAGGAGGCCAGGAGAGGATACAGAGAGTTATGCAGTAGAAAGAAAACAGAACTGAGGGAGAAGGAGGCGGCAGAGATTAGAAGGATAACAAGGGAAGGGGAGGTCTGGAGGTACCTGAAAAAGAGAAAGAAGGGTAGGGAGAGGATAACCAGCGAAATACACATGACAGATTGGAAGAGTTACTTTATGGGATTATTGGGAGGGGTTGAAACGAGGCTAACGGGTTTGGGAGGCTATGAGGGAGATGGGGGAGAGGAGATAGCAGAAGAGGAGATGGAAGCAGTGCTTAGGGGATTGAAGAAGGGGAAGATGGGATCCAGAACGAGGCATGGTTGGAAGCATCAAGGGTGGTGAGAGTGAAGTTGTTGGAGGGGATGAATAGCGTATGGAGAGGGGGTGGGTTTCCGGAGGGATGGAAAGTGGGGGTAATTTGCCCAGTATATAAAAAGGGTAATAAGGGAAGGGTAGAGAGCTACAGAGGAATTAACCTACCAGACTCGGCATACAAGGTATACACGAAGATACTGCTGGGAAGACTGGAGGAGGAGATGGAGTTGGGGGGAATTTTGCCGGATGGGCAGGCAGGCTTTCGGAAGGGAAGGGGAGCAATCGACAACGTGTACGTGTTGAAGCATCTGGCAGATAGAGAGCTGGATAAGAAGGGAGGGAAATTGTACGCCCTGTTTATAGATTTGAAGGCGGCTTTTGATAAGGTGGATAGGGGAAAGTTGTGGAAGGAGATGGGGAGGAGGGGGATCACGGAACACCTAATTGCGAGAGTGAAGGAAATATACATGGAGACTATGGCTAGGATAAAAGTGGGAGATAAGCTGAGCGACGTGTTCTGGACGACGAAGGGACTGAGCCAGGGATGTCCGCTGAGCCTAAGTCTGTTTGCACTGTATACGGCGGACCTGGAGGATAGATTGGGGAAGGGGCAAATGGGAGGGTTGGTGGTGGGAGGTAGAAAGGTGCATATGTTAGCATACGCGGATGACATCGTGGTCATGGCGAGAAAAGCGGCGGAGATGAAAGATATGATAAAGACATTGGAAAGATATTTTAGGGGGAAGGGGCTGGAAGTGAATGTGGGGAAGACAAGGATGATGAAGTTTTGTAAGGGTGGGAGAAAAAGAACAGAAAACTGGAGATGGGAGGGAAAAGAGATCGAGGAGGTTAGGGAGTATACTTACATGGGGTATGTGTTCAGGGAGGACAACAGGGAGGGGTCGCATGTGATAGCTATGGCAAAAAAGGCGAATAAGGTGATGGGACAAGTATGGAGTTGGGGGAAGAGAGTTTTTGGAAGGAATGTGGCAGCGAGGAAGATTATGTTTGAAGGCCTGGTTAGCAGTGTGATGATGTATGGAGCAGAGGTATGGGGATGGAGAGAGCAGGCAATGCTGGAGGACGTGCAAGCTAGATACTGGAGATGTGGAGAGTGTTGGAGGGAAATTAGAGAGGGAAAGATCAGATATGGGAAAGGAGACAGAGACAACTATTATAGACGAGCGGTCTACTCGGTAACTGAGATAAATAGTAGACGAAGGGTGGGTAGGGAGATGTGGAGGGAGTTGAGAGATAGGGACCGAGATGTGCAGAGACAGGAAAGAAGGACACAAATAAAAGAGGGGAGGTATAACGAAAGGTACTGGGACATAATAACGGAGGGGCTGCCTAGATACTTGTTATTGGAAGGAGATGGGGAAGGGAAGAAGTTGGTGGCTAGGTTCCGTTGTGGAAACGAGGAGAGAGCTAAAAGATACTGGATGGCCGATGAGGAGAGGTGGTGTAGGCTATGCAGGGAGGAATGGGAAACGTTGGAACATATGTTGAATGGGTGCATTGAGTTGAGGGAGGAGGAGTTGGACCGAGGGCAGATCTTAGGAGAGGGGAGAGAGGGGAAACGATGGATGAGAAAGGTTGTGGGGGTAAGGAGACAAAGGGAAGGATGAGGGGATGATTGGACCGAGGAGCCGAGGGTATGGAAATGGAGGAAGAGGGTAGAGGGTGAAAATAATATACTAATAATATATATATTAGAATGTATTAAGGGGATAAAAATTGTAAATATTAAAAACAATAAAATGCGTATTATTACCCAGTAGATACAGAACCAATGTTGGTCAATACTATTGCCGGACGATTAGGTATATCTTTACATTTGAATCAACTAATAAAATCGTATATGAAGAATCCAATGCACCAGTTTTTATCATGCTGGTAACCGGAAGTTGGTGGTAATGACATCAACTTAAAAATTTTCCAAGTTGTCATATGAATTAAGTTTTATCGTAGAATAGATATTTTAAAAATAAACATTTACTGTAACTCTTCTTAGATTTAATGCAACGTGCTATTGATGATTACAATATTCTTTTCATGTTTTTTCGTATATGAAAATTTTTAAGTTGATGTCATTACCACCAACTTCCGGTATTACCAGCTTGATAAAAACTGGTACATTGGATTCTTCATATACGATTTTATTATCATATTTTTTATTGCAACTTCTTAGGTAATAGCGTTTTTGAGAAAAATTCCTGGTACGGGTGGTCTGAATCACCCGGTATAAATCAACAAGAATCAATTCTAAAAGAAAAGAAGAAATAACACAAAAAAAAGATAAAGAAAAAAAGAAAATCAAGAACAAACTGTCACTCGGCCGAATTTGCTGCTCGCATTAGTTTGTTTATTGGAGAGTTTAGCCCCACATTGGTGTTAGCGCGATTTGGCATATAAGCACTATAAACTCGCGCACATCCGCGGCACCCTCACATTCAATTGAGCTAGTATTTCCATGATGCAACTAGCACACCCGACATCACACCGCGCACAAACCTCGCAGACAACAATCTTCTACGGTCCTCAAGGCTCCGAAGGCCATATCGTTGTAGCAGATTTATATAGTTTAGTTCTCCTCTAGGTGGATAATACCCAGAATTGAGGTAGTGGATAAACCTAACGAACTCCCTCTGTACTTTCTCGATGGTGGCAATGTGCGTTAAATATGATGGGGTCCACACAATGCAGCAATATTCAAGTTTACTCCGTACAAGCGTAGAATAAAGATCTATTATTGTTTTTAAATTCGTAAACTCCAACATATTTCTAGTGATAAACCCCAACGTTCTGAGGGCACCAACCGATATTCTGTCAATACGTTCATTGAAAGACAAAGTGCCATCATACCACACTCCAAGATCTTTTACTGTTGAGATACGCGATAAATAATCCATTCTAAGCACATAATTGAAAAGTATGGCATTACCTACGTTTTTGACTGTATGTCATTACCTGACATTTAAGAGTATTTAAAGCTAATTTGTTCTCAGAACACCATGAATAAAGTTTATCTAAATCTAACTGGAGTGATTCACAGTGCTGCTCACAACTAATAGATCTAAATAGTTTCAGGTCGTCTGCGTATAAGAGTGAATTCGTGTTGAAAATCGCAGGTAAATCATTTATATAGATGTTGAATAGCAAAGGGCCAAGTATAGATTCCTGGGGTACGCCACTAGTAACATGAATCTGTCTTGACTTCAAACCACTTAACTCGACGTATTATCTGCGATTGGATATATACGATACTAGGAGTCGTGTGAGAAAGTGATCACATCCAAATCTCCACAACTTTTCGGCCAACAAATCATGATTCAAGCAATCAAAATCCCGAGAAAAGTCGGTGTATATCACATCCACCTGTTCTCGACAGTCTAATGCATTCGATACGTACTGAGTGAAGCTGAGTAGGTTGGTGGCTGTGGATCTACCTTTTCGAAACCCATGTTGATTTTGCGTGTTACAATCTGCTGAAAAAGCTTGGAAAAATTATTTATGATGGCTATAGGTCGATAATTCGTTACGCAGGCTCTATCACATTTCTTAAAAACAAGCCAAACTCTCCTCAATTTCCAGATTTTCGGGAATTCAGAATTTTTGATTATTAAATTGAAAATATGTTGAAGAGGCTGTAATAATACAGGCGCACAGTCTTTGACTATATATGCGGGGATACCATCTTGACCAGTCGTAGTTGTCGCCTTAAATTTCTTAAAAGCTTCCACCATCTCATCAGGACTTACTTCTGAGATGCCGAAAGAAACGCCATCCCATCCATCAGCAACTTGGGCACCGTTAGGACTGACATTAGGAGCCGGAAGATACATACTCTCTAAATGACCGGCGAACAAATTAATCACAGTCTGCAGATCGGAAAAAATTTCACCATCGTGTTTGAGAATATTTAGTGAGACAGCACTATTTTTGGTCTCATTAACAAATCTCCAAAAACTCTTTGGGTCTTCCTTTATTTTTTGCTCCAAAGATCTTACGTATTCTCGACGGTCCTCACGCATATGTGTTTTACAGTCCCGGCATATCTTGTTCGATAAAAGGAGTTATTAGTTCGTCTAGATAATTTATGGTAATGTTTTTTTTTGTTTAAGCATTCGTTTTAAGGTAGAGGAGTACCACAAAGGATATTTAGTTTTTATGTGTTTTCCGTTGATTTTTGGAACATACGCATCCAAGACACTATATAATGTTGTATAGAAAACAACACAGGAGACTTCAACTAATGATAAAGACAGGTTAGCTCTTTTGAAGCAATACTGGGCGTCTCGATATATGTCTTGAACCGTTGAAAACTGAGGTGCAGGTATATTTAGAGTTCTCAACAAAGCTGGATGATAATTGTCTTCGCGAACCAGAGTAAAATCGGAGTGTATCACGTTAAGATTTATGTGTGATGAAGCAAGAATCAGATCGAGTGTACTATCTATGATATTACTCACGTTGTTTAATTGTTCAAGATTATTAAAACTATGAAAGTTACGAAGGGTAGCAGCTCGTTCATCGCTTATGATAGCAAATGATGGAATATTAAAGTCTCCCAGGATCAAAGTATCTAATGACATATCCAGTGATGATTCAATGTGATCAAATGTACGACCATACATTTCTCCAGGTGTACCAGGCGGGATGTAACAAACAACAACATTCATAATTCGTATTTTGACTTTTTAAATTCAACTCTTGCACCTACCAAATCAATGAATTCAACTGAGCAAGAGGTCACCACAACTTTAGAAACAGCAATATCACTATCGATGGCCAATAATACTCCGCCACCTCTACGATGAGGTCGATCACATCTAAAAACATCGTATCTGTTGGGGAAAAGCTCCCGATCAAGAACTGTTTCTTTGAGCCTTTCGTTAATTTTAGTATTTAAACCATGAGTATTCTGGTAGTACAGCGCATACTGTGTCCGTTGGGAGGCAGCTAGCTTTTTCTTTTGACAATTCGAGGATGTCTGTTAAGGAATTGTAAGCGCAAGTCCTTTCCACCATTGTCATGTTAGAAATAGAATAAGAATTTAGTAGTTTTGTTATGTAACAGTTGGTAGCAATGCGTATTGGCGGCAAGAATCTAAGAAGTCGTAGAAAATGTCGGTTGTAAGAGTCCATATATTTTCGAATAATAAAGATTGTGTTAATTAGAACTGTGATTTATGAAATAAAAGTGTTAGAGAAGTAAATAAAAATAACATCTCAATACGAGACTTCAACTCTGTGCGCATTTTACGCTCAAACTCTTGTTGTCGTGGAGTTCGTTCACCATTTTTAATAAACTAAATTTTTATTTAAACATTTTTAAAGTTCACAGAAGTTCGCAGCCCTTAGCACATCTTAAGACCATATCCGCTTCCGACCTATTCTCAAATACCACTTTAACATGTCTAGGCCGCGTGTGTGTAGGTGAGAGTTTTCCCAATCTATAGACCTTCGCAATGTTTGGGGATTTCCAACAACATCCTTAAGTGTGGCCTGAACCGCATCTTTGAGTATGCTATCTTCATAACACAGAACATTTATGAATTTGTATTAAACACACTGATTTACTACGTTTCAACGTCGACCCCGTTAGGTTTTTCAATTGAACAACAATAAACAACTCCATTGTTAAACTGAACAACTGAAGTCGATCAAGTTGATGTTCCCGGATCGGCGTACCGGATTAGTCCAGAGAATCCCTCACACGACAATCCTGACTGGTGTCACGCTCTTGGGATACCTATAAATTCCCTTCAACTTTCTCTACAACAGAATACAAATAAGACGCAGCCGCAATCCAAGACAAAAGGCAATTTCTCAAACTAACGCTTACAATAGATTACAAATAAGATTGAATTCTCTCTATTAGGAAGCTACAACTACTTGTGATCTCTGAGGCTAGAAACGCGCCAGCATGTTTCACTAGACTGAATTAAGGGTTAGGGACAAGAGTCGATGATTATTCAAGTAAAGTGTACTCAGAGGTCAGAAATGTGCTAACATGTCCCACAAGGATCAATCATTGTTTTATCAACTTTGAACTAAAGTGAACTCAGAAGTCAGAAACGCGCTGACATGTTCTACAAGAATCAATCATTGTTTTATCAACTTTGAACTAAAGTGAATTCAGAGGTCAGAAACGCGCTGAAATGTTCCACAAAGATCAATCATTGTTCTCTCAAAATTGTCCGCATAAATCCCGGTCAGGAGGCATAATGATGAAAATCTAGTAGATTTTCGAAGTGTAGTGTTGAGTGTCAACTCCATCTTAGATAGAGAACTAGACCATTCTTGCTTAGCGTCAGCTTCGGCTGCCAAACAATTAGTTACGGTGTCCATATAATGCAGTAACTAAAGTAAGCTCTTAGCTTCTTCACACTCAGTGGTCCAATCAAACTTTACATTGTGGTTTGTCAGGTTTTTAACGCAAGCTGTTCGTATAGCAAATTGTGAAAAGTTAACAATGAATCCGTAAAATCAATAACTGATAAATAAATAAAATATAACTTTTAACTTACAAATAGTTTACGCTAATATTTCTAATATGATTTTTTTTTTCACAAAAGAAAAGAATACAAAGTCTTATCTATTTGCGCATCTTTTTTGCTGCCAGCCAGCCCGAATGTTTCTAGGTCTAGTATTAGAATAACAAGTAAAACTAGAAGTGCTTAACAATAATGCTTACAGGTTTAAAAAAAAAATTTACATTAGCATATACTTAATAGCGTTATTAAGTGTCCCACTAGGCATAAATCATGTCGATTTATTTCGCGTTCGGTGACCTTTAAAAGTTCAATAGAAACGATAAACTTCCGTGTTATTAACCATTAATACACGACCAAAAATTACCTGTTCTATCATTACTTTTGATTAATTATTATGGTAATTACAGGATTAGTGTAGAAAAGATAAAAACCCTTTGACGTCACGAAACAAGATTTTTTTACGGCAACCTTGTAGAAAATTGCAAATTAATTTTTGAGCGTTTAAATTTTAGTACATTTGTTTGGTTTTTATGTTGTTTAGTATTCATTTTTTTAGCAAATTATTATTTTTTATTACACAATAAGTATGATGATGGTTAATTTGTTCATAAATTTTTTAGGGCTATTGAAAATTTAGGTGGATTAGAACTAGAATCCGATTATCCTTACGACGGTAAAAACGAAAAATGCCATTTCAACAAAACATTATCTAAAGTCCAGTTATCGGGTGCGTTAAATATCAGCCAAAACGAAGATGATATGGCGAAATGGTTGACGCAAAATGGTCCCATTGCTATAGCCATAAACGCAAATGCTATGCAATTTTATGTTGGAGGAGTTTCTCACCCATGGAAACTCCTTTGTAATCCAAAAAATTTAGATCATGGCGTTTTAATTGTAGGATATGGTGTTCATTGTAAGTAATCTTAAATTTAATTGATACATTTTTATTCTACGAATATTATTATTTTTTTTTTAGCATATCCTAACTTGAAGAAAGATCTTCCTTATTGGGAAATAAAAAATTCGTGGGGTAAACGATGGGGAGAACAAGGTTATTATAAAGTGTACCGAGGCGATGGTACTTGCGGTGTAAATCAAACGCCTTCCAGTGCGATCGTGGCTTAATTAATAACGAATTTAATATGTGATAATAAATTTATCATAATGAAATAATAAATTAACATATTAATTTTAATCGTATATATTTTTAATTAGTAAATTCTTGTTTTGCTATGTTATTAATTTTTAGTTTTGGAAATATATCTCAACGTCACAATGTTAATGTTATTATTGGATAGTTTCGAATCTGTATATTTTGTTATTAATAATAAATCTATATAAAATATTAGTTTCTTAATACATATCCATCATCCTGTGGTGCTACATCCCTTGGTGAGATTTGACCTTCTCAACAATTTGCCTCTACTCTATTATCACAGAATAACCAGAAATGAAACATCGATTCGTTTGATGTTGGCGGCACTTCGATTTAAAATCCGCCATCTTATCGCGAGTTTTCAAAGGCACGGAATAGCCAGAAGTGAATCTCTAAATCTTTACCACCAATTGCAGCAATACCTTTGCAACTCGTTATAATATGGCGTCAGATTTGAACGGCGTTTGATTTTGACGCGGTTGAAGAGAGGCTGCTAAGGAGGATGAGTTACAGAATTAGGTATGACTGGAGGTAACAGAAGATATAACAGAGAAATTTAATAATTAGTAATACTTAGTAATTCATTACTTTAGAACACAGTCATGTCTGTAGAACTTTCGATGTGTATATTTCTAGAATTTGACGAAGTTGAAGGAACACAGGAGAAATACTACTGTAATGCTTTTTGCTAATTTTTTCCAACTTTCGTCTATGTCGCTGCTATAATCCATTTAGCTAGAGATATCTTGTTTGTTTGTTCTTGTATTTCTGTATCTTTTAGTTTTTCGGTACTCCATTTAATTTTTCTCTTACCTCTGTTTGCTCCTATATTAGCTATTCTTTGGTGGACCTTGTTTTCCATCAGATAATAGATTCTTGTTCGTACATCAATAATTGATGACGAGTTTCTTGCAAACATCAGGACATGGTCGATTTGATTAATCCTGTTTGTGCCTGGTATTTGCCATGTTCCTTTACGAATGTTCTTCCTATCAAATGATGTACCTTTTATTCTGAGCAATATTTCGCTGGTAAATTGGTATAGTCTGAGACCATTCTCATTAGTATGTTCTTTGCTTCTTTTGGCATTAAAATTCCCTACACACCACCTCTTAATACACAAGCGTATCATTTTTTTTATCAAATATTTTATTAAGTGGTACGATTATTTCGGAATAATTTGTAGCATTTAAGTCAATTCAACATTTAAAATTTCGTGCGTATATCAAATAGTAAATCATTGTGCGAATATTTATTATAATTAAATAGTTTCTATCGAATAAAAATTTGTATATCATTAAAATAATTAATTATGGTAAATAATTGTAAAAAGGCAGATGTGTAAAATATGAGTTGAATTTTTGATTACAGTTATTATTATCAATTTTTTTAATGGAATGAATAATTTAATTTTTTTTCAAATATTGAAAAGAGTGTATTGGAAAATTCGTGAAATCTACAAAAAAAAATGTTTAAATACAATTTAAAACATTGACCTCCTTAATAATTTAAATCTATATTAATTTACATACAAATACTACTTTGTAATAATTCTACCACGTATTTTATGTGAGCGAAAGTTTTCCCATCTGCTGACTGAATCAGCAAAGTTCTTTTCTCATTTTCCTGTAGATATTATGTGTCAACGCTTCGTTTTCTTCTATATCATTTTGTTGCTTTTTCGGATGACTATCACTTGGACTTGGGTCATTCCTTAGTCAAGTCTCATAAATTTTCTTTAAAATTCTATAATTAAAGTTCAGGTTGTTATCGTTTTTCTTAAAATAGACGGTTTTAGCTTTAATTTGAGATGTATATTACCAATTAATTCCTGCTAATAAATATGTACGATTTTATTAAATTTTTGCTGTTATTAAAACATCAGAAAATTATAAAAAATCATTTCTACTTTATGTTAGGAGCTTGAGCAGTTATTTTCATATCAAATTAAAGCTAAAACTGGCCTTTTTAAAATGATGTATCATAAATATTAGTTTAATAACGAAAAAAATGAGAAAATTTATTTTAATAAGTAACTTAAAATTGGTTAAAATGAACCAGTTTCTTTAACAAATGTTTTATTGTAAATTTGATTATTAAAGTCCAAGTTGTTATAGTTTTTCTTAAAATAAATAGTTTTAGCTTTAATATGAGATATACATCATCGATTAATTCCTGCTAATAAGGACTGCAACATTTTTTAAAATTTTTGCTGTTATTAAAACAACAGAAAGTTTAAAAAAATCATTTCTACGTTATGTTAGGAGCTTGAGGAGTTATTTTTATATCAAATTAAAGCTAAAACTGGCCTTTTTAAAATGATATATCATANATATACCTCATATTAAAGCTAAAACTATTTATTTTAAGAAATACTATAACAACTTGGACGTTAATTATCAAATTTACGAGAAAACATTTGTTAAAGAAACTAGTTCATTTTAACCAATTTTAGGTTACTTATTAAAATAAATTTTCTCATTTTTTTTCGTTATTAAATTTACGATTATGATATATCATTTTAAAGAGGACATCTTTAGCTTTAATTTGATATAAAAATAATTCCTCAAGCTCCTTACATAAAGTAGAAATGATTTTTTATAGTTTTCTGATGTTTTAATAACAACAAAAATTTAAAAATATGTTTCATTCCTTATTAGCAGGAATTAATCGATGATATATATATCATATTAAAGCTAAAACTATCTATTTTAAGAAATACTATAGCAACTTGGACGTTAATTATCAAATTTACGAGAAAATATTTGTTAAAGAAACTAGTTCATTTTAACCAATTTTAGGTTCCTTATTAAAATAAATTTTGTAAATTTTTTTCTTTATTAAACTAATATTTATGATACATCATTTGAAAGAGGCCAGTTTTAGCTTTAATTTGATATAAAAATAACTCCTTAAGCTCTTAATATAACGTAGATATGATTTTTTATAATTTTCTGATGCTTTAATAACAGCAAAAATTTAAAAAAATGTTCAATCCTTATTAGCAGAAATTAATCGATGATATATACATCATATTAAAGCTAAAACTATTTATTTTAAGAAATACTATAACAACTTGGACGTTAATTATCAAATTTACGAGAAAACATTTGTTAAAGAAACTAGTTCATTTTAACCAATTTTAGGTTACTTATTAAAATAAATTTTCTC